TTCAATTTTGCACGTAGTCAGATTGAATCCAAACAACCATCATGCACGGCAGTTGACTTTGAACAACCAGACAGATTTCCAGTCTCTTGTCATCTTCTACAGCCCCCACCACCTTTCAATTTCAGCGACTCGGTCTTCCTGGTAAATCGCCTCTATTTTTCCCCTCTTCTGCTCTTTTCACCGCAGTTTATGCAATCGCTTAGGTATTTGCCCTCGATTTTGTGAAACTGTTTGGGGGATTTCTGAATTGATTGGTCCAGGCTTATACGGGACGGGAAAAGATGAAGTAGTTGACTGAGAAGTTTGGATTGCTTTTTATTTTACTTCATAAGGGCTCTCCTTATCTTCTTCTTCTTCTTCTTCCTTCCTCTTGTATCCAACAGGAAGAGAAAGAGAGAGCGATAATTCATGGGGATTTGTTGGGGTTCTCAAGTTCAAAATCATACCCCAAATACCACTGGAAATCTTAGTTCAGGTAATTATTTTGTTACTCTAATTTTCTGTGTTCTTAAGTTTGTGCTATTTATGCCCAAATAATTTTCCCCTCCTGACTTTGAAGTTCTTTGATGGGATCTTTTTTAGTACTGTTTATCAATCTTTGAGCAGGAGATATTTTCTGGGACTGTTTACCAATCTGTTCCTTTGTGTTTGTTTAATCTGCTTGGGAGTTTTCTAATTTTTGCGTGTTTGGTTTGTTTTTCAATTGGATTTTCATCCAAAAGCTGATTGCAAATAGTGATATCTTTGTTTATAACTTGGAAAAATTTACGACTCAAATTTGTGGCCATAAACAGTGGTATCTCAGACAACTAGTCAGACAACATCCTCAACAGTCAGCAACATCTCGAGGAACAGTCTGTTCTCAGCAGCGAGTGGAGACGAAGCTTATCCAAATGGCCAGATTTTGCCCTCTCCGAACTTGAAGGAGTATAGCTTGGCAGAGCTCAAAGCTGCAACCAAAAACTTCAGACCTGAGGCATTGCTTGGCGAGGGAGGTTTTGGGAAGGTTTACAAAGGTTGGCTTGAGGAGAAGGGCTATGGAAAAAGGGGGAATCCGATGGTTATTGCGGTCAAAAAGTTGAAATCTGATAGCATGCAAGGAATTGAGGAGTGGCAGGTATTATATTGTTATAGAGAAGAAAACTCTCTTCTCTTCTCTGAGATTTTCTTGAACAAAAGACCGAGAAAAATATCTGTTCAAAAATTGTTCAGTCTGCGTCCTAGTTCAAGTTCTTAGGCCGAAAACTTAATAATTTGCCTTAACGTGAGCAAAGTCTCCCTAAGAATTATTGGAGTGAACCGAGAGCATAATACAAGAAGTGAGCACTGATACCATGGTTATCAAAAAGAAAAAACCGAAAGAAGCAATTATTATTCACTCCAGAGAGAATCACTTTGGGTAGAGGATTACGTGAATCAATTGTGAATTACTTTAGTTTGAGTGTATTTTTGGCGGAACAGTTCTTTAGACCTGCACTTGAAAATGGTTCCTTCATTGTTCACCAGTTACTGAACACTTCTTCCCTCAGTTCATGGTTCTGTTTTTGCTTGTTCTTAAGGTTTTTTTTTCCTTTCAAGTTTGAAGACGATTTTGAGAACAACTCAACTGCAAACGACAAATTTTTAATAAAAAAGCACCATTCTTAATGGATTTTTTGTATTAAAAAACTGAGGACAGTTTGTTTACATCCTTCCACAAAAAAAAAAAAAAAGAACACGACCTTAATGTGATTTCCATCATTCATGTTTCTGTCATTGAAATACTGCTAACCTTTGGCAGTGGCAACTAGCATAGATCAGTTAAGAAGTAGGCAGATTAAGCTTCCATAATTGCTGACTTTAGAGTGAATCGCTTTGAGTATGAGACTATATAACTTCCTCACTGTGTAACTTCTATGATTTTCTGTTTTCCTTGTTTGTATTAATATATACAATATCTACCTCTGGCAACTCCCATAAATCAGATCAAATATTTAAACTAATTCTCAAGACTTTTTGAAAAATATACATATAATAACCTTGTCTGGTTGGTTGTGCAGTCAGAAGTGGGCTTCTTGGGAAGACTCTCTCACCCAAATCTAGTGAAGCTGTTGGGTTACTGTTGGGAGGATCATCAGTTCCTCCTCGCCTATGAGTTCATGCAAAAAGGAAGCTTAGAGAACCATCTATTTGGAAGTAAGAAAACTAATTGGATGATATTATACTATACTATGATGTTTCTTTCACTTAATTGCTAGTTTCTTCTCTTTGTTCTCACCAACAGAGAGATGATTCATAGTTTACTGTAAACTGTAAATAACCTTACTGTGAAATGCAGGGGGATCGGCAGTTACACCGCTACAGTGGGATACTCGGCTTAAGGTCGCCATAGGTGCTGCCCGAGGTCTGGCCTTCTTGCACACATCAGACGAGCAAGTAATTTATAGAGATTTCAAGGCTTCTAATATTCTGCTTGACGGGGTAAAGTTATATTTACTCATCTCAATCTTTCTTTGACAACCTTTCTCATATCACTGTTTCTTTTCTGCGAAAGGAAGGCTTTCGGTATCTTCTCTCCTTATAGTATTTGTCGTAATCCGAATCTACCTTTAACTGCAGTCATATACAGCAAAGCTGTCTGACTTCGGCTTGGCTAAATTGGGTCCATCAGAAAGTAAATCTCATTTGACAACTCGTGTTATGGGCACTCATGGTTATGCTGCCCCGGAGTATGTTACCACAGGTAGAATAAAAACCTTTCAAAATTAACTGTGTTAAGAAACTGGAGTCTGTTATCACTGAGAGATTTGTGAGCTGATGTTTATGACCGCGTTTATAATACAGGACATCTGTACGTGAAGAGTGATGTCTATGGTTTTGGAGTCGTACTGATCGAGATGCTGACCGGTTTACGTGCGCTTGATGAAAATCGTCCAACCGGGCAAGAAAACCTGCTGGATTGGATAAAACCATACTTATCAGAGAGGAGGAGGCTGAAAAATGTGATGGACTTTCGCTTGGAAGGAAAATATCCATCCAGATCTGCATTCCAAGTGGCTCAGCTAGCTCTCCAATGCATCGAACACGAACAGAGAAACCGACCATCAATGAAAGAGGTCGTTGAGACATTGGAACAGATCGAAGCCACTAACGAGAAACCAACCGAGCCTAGAAACCGTGCGACCCGTGTGGCGTCAAATCGAAATGCTCATCAGCCTCTTCACCACAACTCTCCACTTCACATGAAGAAAAATGGAATCCATGCTAGTGAAACACCACCCAGGTTGAGATAAATTTGGGTGGTTCTGATTCTCTTATCACACCCTTATTTCTTCATTTTTATGGTTCTCATAGATGTTAGAATGAAGTTTGTTAACTTTTTGGGTAATATGTAATTAAATACTACTTAGGCTGTGGATGATGAGAATTAGGACAGGTTCTGATTGTTACAATTTACACTGGATTGTCAAGTTTGATTGATCTTTGAAGGCAATCTGTTCTTATTTTTCTGAAGTTAGTAAAAACTTGAATGGTATCTCTAAAAGAAAGGGGAAAAAAGAGTGAAGCTATATGCTCGTTTGTAATTAGAGAGAAGTGATAAATTTTTTTTTAAATTTTTTTTCCTTCTCTTATTCCATCCATTTGAAGCTTTTTAAAGTTCAAAATAGACACACAACAATTAAATTGAAGAGATTATCATTGATAGCAAGTATAATGTTATTATTATATAAATATGGGTTCCTTCATTGTTATTTATTTATTACCATTATAGCCTCCAACATTATTGCTCTATTTAAATTCGCCCAATTTATTATTATTATCTTTAATTTTGGTTCAAGAACAAAGGATTGAAAATGAATGGCTGTTGAAATCGTCGAATTTGACCTCATGGAACTTAAAAATCAATGAAGAAATCTATTATAGTATTCATTTCACAGCATTATTCAATTAAAAAAAAAAGAAAATCTTGGGGAATATTGTTAGTCGTATTTTTTGTTTTTAGTCAACTTTCTACAATTATCAAGCCTATGTATTATTATTTTAAAATAAATTTTAATTATCAAATTTATTAATCAATAGTTGTGTGACACAACATAAAACTTTCTTTTCTTTTGGAAAAAAAAATACAACATAAAAGTTGATATGAATATGATATCTCTTCGACTTTTCATATACATATAAAAAATTATTATAGTGGTGATAAAATAATCTCTGTCATTTGGATTACGTAGGTAAGATCATTTAATTTATTATTTTATGTAATAAATCTTATATTACTTTTATAGTTTTATTTTTATCTTTTTGAATACTGCTTTTATAGTTTTATTTACAAGTGACATGGCTAAGTATCGCATCATTTCATACTATTATAATATTGAATTCTTTTTACATATATAGTTGTAATATGGCATATGAAAAATTCAAAGTTTACTTTCATATAAAATATTGTATGCAATCTTTCATTTATTTTAATCTTCAATATAATATTAAATTAATAAAAATTTTGTTATATGAATTCAGATTATATTAAATTATATTTAAAAAAATATATTTTAACATATAAGTTATATACTGATTGATAATGGTATTATTGGAACAATACGTAATTTTATCACATTTATATATACAAATATTGCAAAACAAACATAGCTATCTAACTATTTTCAAACCTTCGTATAAATATTCATGTAAAACAAACATGACTATCTAAAACGGCTAGATATCTAATTTTTGAAAAATAAATGGACTCTTAAGAATTTATAATTTTTTTCTAATTTGTCATTGTAATTTTTTAGAGTTGAAATATTTAATATACAAAAATTAACTCGTAAAATTTTACCTCTCAAAACAAAAAAACAAAAAAACCCTAAGGATTTATACATTTGTCCTATTTATTTAGGACGTTTATTTGTCTTATTACAACATAAAATATAACGCCTTCTTAAATAAACCAACGAACAATAAATGGTAATATATAAAAAATATTATATATTGTTTTTTTAATTTTTTAATAAGAAACGGTAGTTATCATATATTGTTAAATATATAGTTACTTCTATACATTTTACAAAAATAGCATAATTAAATCAAAATCTAACTTAAGGTAAACTATACTTAAAAAAAAATTCAAAATTATGTCATATTAAAAAAAATCCATTTAAAAAAATATATTAATTTTTTGTCATTAAACGAAATTTCTCTCCTTTTTTTTTGGTAGTATAACAATTCTAGCGTATATTTAACCCTAACAGAAATTTTCCTCCTCATAATATGGTTACAAACAATTTCAACGAACTATGTTCGAAACCGTATTTATCAGTTATTTGATCATAATTTTTTTAATTTATGAATAATATTTCTTGAATAAGAAAAAATGAAAAATTTGTTATTAGTAACAGAATATTATAAAATAATTTCCGAGAAATCCTTTTTTTTCATTATTTTATTATTTTTATTTTTTACCTTCTCTTCTTGATCTACGGACTTGAAGTTCTGTTCGGCGTGACAGTCCCGCGCTGGCGGATGAAGACGAAGTGAATCCTGAAGATACTGCCTTCCTTCTAAGAATAATTTCTCTCCAATTCTGCCATGGAAGCTCTCCGAAGAAGAATTTCTCTGAGCTTTAATCTTCTGTTTCTCTTCTGCGTCTTCTTGGTAACAAGTTTCGATTCCTTTTCTTTTGGATGTTTTGGTTCCGTTTCTTTTTTCTTGTTGAAATGCGGTAATGGATTTACATATATGTTCTTCAAGATCTTTCTCATCCGGTACAGTAGCGATTGTGAGCTGAATTCCTCTAAGACCTCGATGTGGTCTTTGAATTACCTTTTTTCTTGCGGCTCTTGGAGTAGCATGATGTAGATTGATGCCGGTTGTTTTGATAGTTTTTTATTGCTCCTTAGTGAAATGAATCAGACTGTTGACTCTGATCTTAAGTTTGCGCTTCTGTTGTGTTGCAATCATTTCGTGATAGTGTTGCTCCGCTTGTATCTTTAGTTTGAGGATTTAGAAGAATTCATTCCGTAATCAGATCGTAGTTTTATATACATCTATTTCCGTTTTCCAGATAGATGCAGTTTAAGCGTCAAGTTCAAATGCCTAATTTTCGATGCAGGTTGTATTTCATGTTGGTCTCACTGGTGCGGATGCATCCAATGCTTCTCTCACGTAAGAAGATTGCTGAAAGATTTGCTATGCCAGCCATTTGTTTACTCTTCATTTAACTGTGCATTCTTTATTCAATTATCTTCTTGCACAGAGAGATGGTTTTCTGTCTGATAAATAAACATTGAGGCTTGATCTTTTTTATTCTGCAGTCAAAATGGCAAGCCCCTGCATCAATGTGTTCAGTGTGGAGATGAAGAGGTACCACACTTGTACCTCTTTGTGGCACATTTTACATCTAATGTTGTGGTTCTACTTTTTTTTTTTGTTAGTAAATATATATATATATATTTTTTTGAATTCAGATGTAGTCACTTGGTTGGTAGGTGAATTCCCATTATCATGGGTTAATAGTTTCCTTAGTTTAGGATATTTTAGTAGTGGATTGATCGCACGACATTGTCAAATAAAGGACTTCAGACTGAGTAATACTTGTGCAAAGATATGAAACCCTTAAAGATCACCCTTGAGGATTGACAATGTCAAATTAAAAGACTTCAGACTGAGTAATACCTGTGCAAAGATATGAAACCCTTAATGATCACCCTTGAGGATTAACATAGTCAAATTAAAAGACTTCAGACTGAGTAGTAGTTGATAGGTGATTTCCTATTACTAGATCATATCATCTAGCCTTTAGGTGAGTGAAACAGTAACCTTGTCTAATTTATGGCATTATTTGCACTTTGGTGTTATGCTTGGGGCAATAATAACAAGTGGTAATATGCACGCATACAGTTGATTTCTGGTCTAGTGGTCACTTCATGCAATTGTGAGGTTCCTTGGTTTATTCTACACATGTTCTTCTTTCCAACTTGTTTGGTTAGTCATATCCGAATTATAATATTTAATATACTTGAAATAAAGAGATGGCTAAAAGAAAAAATATTGCAACTGAATTGAAGGCTAAGTACTGATGTCACCAGAGGTCTTCTTGATGAAGTTATGTTTTATTTATGAGTTTAGTTATTGTCCTCACATTACTCAAGGTAGAAAGAAATTCTATCAATTAACTAAGTGTGGGATCGTTGCATATACTCAATTTTAATTTTATATCATTTATAAGCTTTCTGCATTCAGAAGATCGCACCCGGTGACCAATTCAAATGCTTGCAGGAACAAGAGACTGCCAATAGAATCAGCACTAATGCAGATGATAAGGTATTAACGTGTTATGAAGTTCATAAATTTTAATATTCTTTGCATTTAACACTTACAATATTTATGTTTGTATCATTCATTTCAAACAGGATATTGACATAATTGCAGCCTACAGTGATCCTTCTGGTGCTTTCCGCCTTGGAAGGGTTAAATTGAAGGATTTATCTGCCTCCTGGGTATGGGAAAATTCCATGGATGGAACCCACCACCAGCCACTGAGCTCTCAGGTACTGTGAATATTTTTAAGGCTGACTAAGTCCTCTTGAATATTTTTGTTTAGATAATGTACAATGGGGTTAAAACATGATTATATTATACCTGTGCCTTTTTTAGTTAGTTCCAAACTTTCCATATAACACCAAATCCATTCAAGGTAAAATGTCAGTGATCGATCTTTTTTCTTTAACTCTTGTTGTTATACTTCACAAAGGTCATAGTGGTTTGTTTAATATCATAATATTTGCCTGGTGTATATGCTCAGGTAAAATATAATTCATTTATTCTTTCCTTTCAGACAGACTCATTAGTTTCTGGGATGGAAAATGAAGAGAAGGTGGAACACTCTGTGGATGACCATCCTCCTGGAGAAGAAGGTGAAGCTGATTTTTCTCATTTATCATCAATGAATCCAGTGAAGCTAAAACGACGGGTAATCTTTCCGATGCTTCTACTTGGCTTACCCACATAGGTATTTTGAAGTAATTTCTAGTATTTAATTACTTGTTTATTTTAGGCAATGCGAAAGGAGAGGAGGGCTTTACGAGCTGCAGATTTGATTCGACAAGATAAAGAGATAGACAGTCAGATGGCAGCAGCCGCTATTGAACGATCCAAAAGCTTTGACACTACTGTGAAGGGAAAGTACAGCATTTGGCGGAGAGATTTTGAAAACCCAAAATCTGATTCCACCTTGAAACTTATGCGTGATCAGATCATTATGGCCAAAGCATATGCAAATATTGCAAGGTCAAATAATGAAACCACACTTTACAATACTTTAATGAAACACTGTAGAGAAAGTCAACTTGTCATCGGGGAAGCAAATTCTGATGCAGGGCTTCACCCAAGGTTTTAGAAAGCTTCATACTATATTCCTGTTATCATTTGAATATCTGTTATTAGTTTCCATGCCTGTTCTTTGTTTTTTTTTTGTAGTGCACTAGATCGAGCAAAAACCATGGGTCATGCTCTTGCAATGGCCAAAGATGAACTGTATGATTGTCTTACTATGGCGAGAAAGTTGAGAGCCATGCTACAGTCAACTGAGGACAATGTTAATGCCCAGAAGAAAAAGAGTGCATTCTTGACTCAGCTTGCAGCCAAAACAGTCCCTAAAGCCTTGCATTGCCTCCCTTTACAGCTTGCAGGAGACTATTTCCTGCAGGGTCACCATCTTAATCATAATGTTGACAGAGAAAAGACTGAAAATCCTTCTCTGTATCACTATGCAATTTTCTCAGATAATGTGTTAGCAACGTCCGTGGTAGTCAACTCTACGGTTTTGCATGCAGAGGAACCTGAGAAACATGTTTTCCATATTGTCACAGATAAGCTGAATTTTGCTGCTATGAAAATGTGGTTTCTTGTCAATCCTCCTTCGAAAGCAACAATCCAAGTTGAAAATATTGATGATTTCAAGTGGTTGAATTCCTCTTACTGTTCTGTTCTACGACAACTTGAGTCTGCAAGACTTAAAGAGTATTACTTCAAGGCAAATCATCCTTCTTCCCTCTCTGTTGGTATGGATAATCTGAAGTATCGGAACCCAAAGTATTTGTCCATGCTGAATCATCTTAGATTCTACCTCCCCGAAGTGTATCCCAAGTTGGACAAGATCCTATTTTTAGATGATGATATCGTAGTTCAGAAGGATTTAACGCCCTTATGGTCCATTGATCTGAAAGGCATGGTGAATGGGGCAGTGGAGACCTGTAAAGAAAGCTTTCATAGGTTTGATAAATATCTCAACTTCTCAAATCCAAAGATCTCCGAGAATTTTGATCCTAATGCTTGTGGTTGGGCATTTGGCATGAATATTTTTGACTTGAAGGAATGGAGAAAGCGAAACATCACTGGAATATACCACCATTGGCAAGATATGGTAAAGCCTATCAAATCTTTTTTCTGCTTTCCGCTTAACTACTTTGATATTCATTTTGTAGTTTCTTGACAAATGTCTACTTAGCTTGTGTTCTAAGCCACATATTTGGTCTGGTATCACAAAAAACAAGTGCCTCAAAACTTCTGTTAAATGCAACATGAAAATTTATTGCAAAGGACTAGAAAGTTAAGAGTAGATTAAGACATACTTTTGTTATGTTATTTCCCAAAGCACAAACTCTAATCAGAATCACGGAGCAGAAAATGTCTCTTGTTACATATAGACATGAACTCCAGAGTGCATAGCTTTACTTTGAAGTGTAGTTCCAACTCCCTATGCATATAGCTCTGCTTTTTAATTAAACATATTTCGATTGCTAATGGAAAAATCTCTGTTGCAGAACGAGGACCGAACGCTCTGGAAACTTGGGTCACTTCCACCAGGTCTGATCACATTTTACAATCTCACTTATCCACTAGACAGAGGGTGGCACGTGCTGGGTCTCGGATATGACCCTGCCCTGAACTTCACAGAAATAGATAATGCTGCTGTTATCCATTACAATGGAAACTACAAGCCTTGGTTAGATCTAGCCGTTTCTAAGTACAAGTCATACTGGTCTAAACATGTGATGTATGGCAACCATTATCTTCAGCTATGTAACATCAGTGAATAACAATTTTTTTCCCCTTCTCCCACTCAATTTTTCAATAGAAAAGAATATGGAATAGATGATTTTTGCCGTTCAAGTTCTAAAATTTTCCATACTGACCACCAAAGAAGCACAATTTGAGGACAGGGGAGCTAGATTTTTTTCACTGATAATGGTTAAAAGGTCCTTTTCAGGTTTTGCACCATGAGACTGATCTGGTTTCGGGGTAACCGTTACTGTGATGGGTGCCTTTAGTTAGTTCGTTGTGTATGCTGCTCGAACTGGACTTGGACGACGGTGGATGCCTCGTTCAATATACGGTATACCTGAAAACATTCTTATCCTCTAGATTTTGTATATTATGCCTGTAATGCTCCTCAAAAACTCTCCCACAAAATTGATAAAGATGCAAAATTTTTCTAGGTAACCGTTAGTTCTCTAGAAATGTATAGCCATTAGTCGCTTGGCTTGGCTCAATCAATGAATTAGACCAGACAGTTTTTTTTAATACGAATATGAAGATTTGAATTCACGACCTTTTAATATGAAATAGGTACCTTAATTAGTTGAGCTAAGTTCAGGTTGGGGACCATAGGTGCCTTAGTATATACTATCAATAAGCAATATTTTAGTGAATAAACTTTCCTATTGCGAGCATATTTGATGTTGAACTGAAAGGAATTTTTAGCGTTTCCTTCCATTTTTCTCAAGCATTTTGAAACTGGTTTGGGTCTGTAGGAACATCAATTCTTTTTATTCTGAAGTAGAGTTATCGTTGAACTAATTCAACAAATTTGGTAGTTTTGATTTTTCCCCTATTCCTTTTCTTATTCTTTTGGGTTTTTATTTCTTTGCCAGATAAGTACTGAGTGAAAAAATAGGTCTATGTTGTTTTAGTTCAACACATGGATGTAAGAATTCGAACCTCAGCTATGTTCAAGTTGGTAAGTTTATCTTCTTTTTGACTTTTAAATTTTGATTTGATCATACTTCACCTTGTTTATATAGTAAAAACTAATAATTAAAATTTAACATATAGATTAATGATATCAAAGCAAAGTTTGAAACGCATTTGAAGTTCAAAGAGAAGAAATAAAAAAAATAAAGAAAAAGTGTCAAAAGACGTGAAAGCTTGGCTAGCATCCTGAATTTAGTTTCTCGCTTTGCTGTCCCAATTGCATCATGTATATGAATTAACATCATAATAAAGTAATCTATCTACATTGATGACTTAATTTGTTAAGTTTATTAATTTAAAGTGTTCAATCATCTTACCCACGTGTACATGAAAGTTGTCATAAATAAGACAATCTTTAAGGTTTTAAAGACTTTTAGGAAACATTTTCGTTGGCAGACTATTCGGATTTTTTAGGTGTGAAATGCCATTCTTGTCCTTTTAGAACCCGAAAACCCACCCACCCCTCCTCTCCTCTTGCGTCTCTATGGAGATTGGATCGGGAGGATGGAGGAAGTGCATACATTTTTTAAGTTGGAGGAAGGAAGGATTCATGATGTTATTTTTATTTTTTTAAAAGAGCAGTCTTTTCTCTTCTAAAAAGTACTAATAGTCTAAAAAGGCCTTAAAAGTTGTCTTTATTTTTTACAATTTCCTACTTGTTATAATATATCACAAAAATAAAAAAAGATATGTATCGTATCAACTCACTTTAATTATCGAGCATAATTCAACTTAATATCAATTTCTAATCAAAAGATGTAAGTTCAAGATATTTCAAATTCAAATTTAAAAAAAAAAAAAACCAATCAAATTTTGCTGCTCACCGGCTAGACGACACTTCCATGCCGCATAATTTTCGTATTGTTGTTATTTGCTCTCCCGCGCTTTCCAACTGAAATTGCAAAACGGAGAAAAGGCAAACACGAAAGCCTGTAAATGGACCGAGCAACCAGACTCTCAAAAGCCATATACCTTAATTCCAACAATCCTAAACTAGCATGGCTTCTCTTCAAGCGAATCCTCTCATCCCCCATTGCCGCCTCCTCCTCTTTCTTCAAAACCTCTCTTCAATCTCTACCCGCAATCGCCCGCATCCTCATCACTGCAAAAATGCACCCAGAGATCGATCACCTTCACCAGCTCCTCTTGTCGCAGCACCGCGATTTCGCTCACCCATCCGGATTTTCACTTGTTCAATCGCTGGCTGGTTCGGGTCTCTTCGAAAGCGTCATATCTCAGTTTCAATCGCTCCGAACCAGGTTTCCCGATGACCCCCCTGCAATTTCTTTCTATAATTTTCTGTTTCGGTGCTCTTTGAAGGAGAGCCGTGTTGATTTTGTGATCTGGCTTTATAAGGATATGGTTGTTGCTAGAGTTAAGCCACAGACTTATACTTTCAATCTCTTGATACTTGCGCTTTGTGAAATGGGTCACTTAGAGAACGCTCGGGAAGTGTTTGATAAAATGTCTGAAAAAGGGTGTGAGCCTAATGAGTTTAGTCTTGGGATTTTGGTTCGTGGGTATTGTAGAGCTGGGCTCCATTATCGAGGTATTGAACTTTTGGACGAATTGACGAGCTCTGGAACTCTTCCCAATAGGGTTGTGTACAATACTGTGATATCTGCTGTTTGTGGAGAAGGTCAGACTGCTGAGGCTGAGAAATTGGTGGAAAGGATGAGAGACGCTGGTCTTTCTCCAGATATTGTAACTTTCAATTGTAGAATAGCCGCCCTCTGTAAATCTGGGCAAATTTTAGAAGCTTGCAGAATTTTTAGAGATATGCAAATAGATGAAGAGTTGGGGTTGCCTCAGCCCAATATTGTAACATATAATTTAATGCTAGAAGGATTTTGTAATGAAGGAATGCTAGAGGAATCCAAGGCTCTCTTTGATTCTATGAAAAGATCTGCAACTTTTTTGAGCTTGGAGAGCTATAATATATGGTTGTTAGGTTTGGTCAGAAGTGGACAGCTCCTTGAAGCTCGTTTGATTCTAAATGAGATGGCAGAAAAGAGTATAAAACCCAACCTTTACTCGTATAACATTTTGATTTATGGACTCTGTAAATATGGGATGTTTTCTGATGCAAGATCTATACTAGGCCTAATGAGAGAGAGTGGTCTAGCCCCAGATACTGTAACTTACAGTACTTTACTGCATGGATACTGCTGTAGAGGAAAGATAGTTAAAGCCAATTATGTTCTTCGTGAAATGATGCAGGTTGGTTGCTTTCCAAATATGTATACTTGCAACATTTTGCTCCACAGCCTGTGGAAAGAGGGGAGAGCATCAGAAGCAGAAGAGTTGCTACAAAAGATGAATGAAAGAAATTATGGCTTGGATAATGTAACTTGCAATACAATGATTAATGGCCTCTGTAAAACTGGGAATCTGGACAAGGCTATTGAAATAGTGAGTGGCATGTGGACCCATGGAAGTGCTTCTCTCGGTAATCTAGGGAATTCTTTTATTGGTCTTTTTGATGTTGGCAATAGTGGGAAGAAGTGTATGCCTGACTCGGTTACATATGCGACCATAATAAGTGGGTTATGCAAGGTTGGGAGGATTGATGAAGCAAAAAAGAAGCTTCTGGAGATGATTGGGAAAGGGCTATCTCCTGATTCACTAATATTCGATACTTTCATACATAGTTACTGTAAACAAGGAAAGTTATCATCTGCTTTTAGAGTTCTCAAGGAAATGGAGAAAAAAGGTTGCAACAAGAGCCTTCGAACGTATAATTCACTGATCGAGGGCTTAGGTAGTAATCAAATATTCGAAATATATGGGTTGATGGATGAGATGAGAGAGAGTGGAATTTCTCCTAATATTTACACTTACAATAACATTATTAGATGCCTATCTGAAGGTGGGAAAGTGAAAGATGCCACTTCTCTTTTGGATGAAATGCTGCAGAAGGGTATATATCCTAATGTATATACATTTAGAATTTTAATTGGAGCTTTCCTCAAGGCTTGCGACTTTGGAGCAGCTCAAGACTTATTTGAGATAGCTTTAAGTTTATGCGGCCACAAGGAATCCTTATATAGTTTTATGTTCAATGAGCTACTTGCTGGAGGTGAAACTTTCAAGGCTAAAGAGCTATTCGAAGCTGCATTAGATAGATCTCTTGCCTTGAAAAACTTTCTTTACAAGGACCTGATCGAAAGGCTTTGCAAGGATGAAAAATTAGATGATGCTAGTTTCATTCTTCATAAGATGATGGATAAACAGTACAGGTTTGACCATGCATCATTCATGCCAGTGATTGATGGATTAGGTAAAAGAGGAAACAAGCATGCAGCTGATGAATTTGCAGAAAAGATGATGGAAATGGCTTCAGAAACCGACCCCAGCCAACATGAGAATAAGATAATCCGCAGAAGATCAAATAATTATGATGAAGGTGATTGGCACAAGATAGTTCACAGGTACGATCATTTAAAATTATAATCGATGATGTGGTTTTCACTTTTCTGCACTAGCTTTAGTGCTCTTTTCAGTATTTTTTTCATCTGAAACGCCTTTTTGAAGAATATGATGGTCTTTTGAGGGTCTTTTTTTTTAAAATGTCGTAACCTTAAATATAGAGTGAAAGTCTTCTGTAGACGGACACTTTAGTACTGAATTGAAATTTCCAGTTATCAATTCAGTTGAACTTTAGGCTAAGAATAGTTAAAATAGTGAGGCTATTGATTTAATTGATTTTTTTGTGTTGTCAAAGAATACTTAATTTTGTGTTCTATGTATGTCATGTGCCTGGATTGCGGCTGCACAACTTCAACAGAAATGATGGCAGTGGGATTGCACAGAAAGCTCTTAAGCGTGTGTTGAAAGGATGGGGTCAAGGAAGTATTACAACTTTGCAGCCTCAGAAATTTAGCACTCATGATTACTGGGATGGTGATGCTTAAAGTTTTTTCAAGTTCTTGAGGGACAGGAAAACATGGGAATATGCTAAAACTTGCTAAGGTGCCGAATGTTGATGTCAGGGAGCAAAAAACATCTGTACATCAGGTAGAAATCTGGAATTCTTTTAACAAAGTACCATAACAATGAGAAGATAGATGGAGTAATTTCCAGTTACTCTTGAATCTTGAATCTAGGGTTTTACCTATTTTAGACTTGTCATGTAGGAACTAGGAATGATTGAGATTCATTTTGATATGCTGGCTTACTTGTAGTGAGATACCATGAATTTTTATTTTGTCAGCTCGTTGAGAAGAAAAGGAGCAAAAACGAAGAGGAAGAATAAATAGACAAGCATCGAGTTTTTGTTATACATCATTGAAAGTGGAAACTCTAGCACCACTTAGTAGTTTCACTGTGTCAGCTTGGAGATCCACAACAGGGCACTCTGGTAATAATTTTTTCCATGTTCAAATAATTTCTAATGCTTTCAATTTTAAATCTTGAGCTTGTTCTGTCCGGTATATATAGTTTTTGTTACTATAACTTATTTCTAAGTCCTATGGCCTAGGAAAATGAAATATGGAATGGAGCGTCAAACTAAGAGAACAGGGAGCAAACTACATTGCTTTTTTCATTGGCACATATGGAACAGACCATAAAAGAATTAGAAATGCCGAGGGTTCATCTCATTGTTATACATTGACACGAAAGATATTGAATTAAAATCACTGTAAGCACTTAAGAAATATCTCTGTTGTGAAAATACAGTATTCAGTGTGAAATGTTATGCAGACAGAATCAAGTAAATATATACTTTTTGGGGTGGGGAACTGGTTTAAATGCATATAAAGTCTCTAGCCTTTCATGTATTCTCTCAACTGGATAGATCAAAAGTGCGTGCTTATATGACACATACTTGGCTATAAATTTTTATAAACTGTCCTAATATGTTTTATTTAGTTTCTCTGCTCTACCATTTTTCTTATAAGAAAGATAAAGAGTGGCTCTTTTCCTGTTATAAGTTTCCTACTATTTTAATCCCACCATTAGCAACTGCTAAGTAATGATAAACAAGCGGTAAGTTCTATTCTAAAGTAACAAGTGCGATGGTTTCAGCAGGATGGGCTGCTACTTACTGCCAATGGAGCTTCCTAAAGCCTGCTGAGAAATCCATTGGAGGCAGAGTCTGATAGTCCGGCTACAAGATGCTCTGAATATTTCCTTAGACTCTTCAAGGTCTGCATCACATGTCAAGAGAACCCATTCCCCATCATCGTCAACGTCTTGTAATATCGTCTAAATTGAATCGCCTGGCAATCTCTAGCTGGGAGACTTCAATTGAGGGAAGCTTTTATAGAAGTACCCGATCTGTATCGCACCCTCAGCACCTCGAACCGAGTCAATCACAAGCTGGAGTTTCCTTAGAGAACGGCCTACTTTCTTGATCTTTCAAGAAGGCCACCTTGTTATCCCATGTTGCTTGCATATCCTCTTCAAAGTACATAAATGTTTTACTGAATGAGAAAAAAACCAAAAGAAAACTCTGATGAACTTATGCAACAAAAGTTGTCAAAGTTTCTTGTTAAGGATTTTATGGTTTTTGACAATATTGCAGGGTGAAAAGAGGACATGAAATCCAGCTGCCCAATAACCACACTGAAGAATTCAACATGTTTAGTGAAGTGGTTTAAACTCGGGGTATCGGGCTAAATAGCCTTTTTCAAAGGTCCATTTCATACCCCTCTCCTCATTTTTTGCTGACATCAATTTTGTGTGAAAATACGTATTTACCCTTTTCATTTTTTCTTCAAATTATTACTTTCTCCTCCATTTCTCTCTCATCTTCCCTCCCTATATGGTTACAAATTCTCTCTTTCTTGAAAAATTCAACCAACCTTCTCTCTTATTTACTCTCCATAAAAAAACCCTAAATATTTATTGCTATCTTCCTCCTTATCACTCCTAAGCCACATCTTCCCATTCCCATTCTTTTTTCTTCACCTCCTCTGAAAAAACAAGCAACAAGTTGCTCCATTTACAATTTTTTTTCGATGAGAGACATACGTCGAGAGCGGGAGCGAGAGGGAGTGAAAAGGGCGGGAGCGAGAGCGAGAGCCTTTTTTTGTGTGTTCTGTTTTTTTCTTTTCTATGTGTGGGTTTATGTGAACTCTTTGTCCTTGATGTTCTTTGTTGAGTTTTTACCTCTCTTTTAGACGTGACCCATTCTTTTGTGCGTGTATTTGTTATTTTATCTTTGAATTTTAAGCTCCAACAATTAAGTCATTGAGATGAGATGAATGAAAAATAAGGAAGAGAGAGGAGAGAGAAAAGTGTATGCCTCCGAGTACAAGAGAGAGAAAGAGAGAGTTGAGAGGAAGACGCCTGCTATCCCTTATTTTCAGAGCATCATCTAAATCCACCATTATATAATATATATCAGTTTATACTTTTAAGATCATGCACGAGATGGAGTGCTGAAAAGTTCAGTGAAAATCGGATACCGGTAGCGCCAGCTATCCCCGGCCGCCGTCGCTCAACCGCGGATACTCCTCTCTCCGGCAACTGAGTCAACTCGCGGCCTCCGCCGAGAGTTCCACTCGGCGAAAGAGTACAGCTGGCCACCGCAGTTAGCTGTCGCTTTCGTCGGTGGGGCCCACAGCTGGACGAGAACGTCGCGATCTTTCGTGCATTCTCTCAAGTACCCGACGGCGGTCTTCAGCCGCTCCTTCACGGAGAAGGACGGCGGCGGCTGAATCCACCAAGCCGGCTCATCTCATTTCCTTCCACGACGAAGGATTCCGACTGGAATATTTCGTGGCAGTTGTTGCGGCCGCTGCCGGCGGTGGTTTGATCTACTGGGAAGATTTGGTGGTGGTAGTGGAAGTTGCAGCCATTGTTGGGCGGCGGCGGCTCCTCCGCCGTTGGTTGCGAGAAGTTGACGCCCCCGCTGGCCGCCGTCTCCGGCATGCTTCCGTACGTTGTATTCGATGGAAATGGGCCGTACTGATACATAATTATATCTCGAATCTGAATATGAATAAAAGAATTTAATTTATTATAAGAAAAATTAAATTTAGAGTAATTTATTAACTTAACAATTTTGGTTGGAAATATATCATCTGATCAAGTTAAATAGGTTAAACACCGTGATCTCCTCTCCCAAACGAAGTTAAAAAATTTTTATTTTAAGTTGAAATTTTAGTAATGTTGTTTATTGTCCGATCGTGTCTAAATTTATTAAAGTTTAAATAATTAGTTTCAAAGACAATTTTTTATAAAGAAAATTTTTTATTTTAATAGTGATCGAACATGGTATAGGCATACTAATTCCAAAACTCTACAAATGAAGAGAAATGTTAAAAAGTATTATTAGATAGAAGCTTAAAATTAAGTTTAATTATATTAAAAAAAATCTTGAATTACTGAGTTAGGAATACAAATAAACACCGACCAATATTAGGTTATTCAACAGTAAAAAAGTTACAATACGATTTTATGTAGTAAACATTCAAACAACAAAGAAAAAACTAACAATACCCATTTAGAAACAATCCACAAAGAAGCATAAACTCATCAAGTTGTTTTGAGATCATCAGTGAAGAAAAGTCCTCCATGATTTTTCCCTCTTTTGAAAACTGTAATAGGAGTTTGACAATGATTAACTCTGATGCCAAATCCTCCGATCGATCCAGTTGAAAATAGCGAGAAAAATAAGAAGAAATATGAACAGAAGAAAGAAAATAACACATTATTATTCCATAGAATAAAGAGAAAAACCTTAATAAGAAGTAGGCATTATGCTGGATCTCTCTCTTACTCTTCACCTGGACACTGCTACTGCTGCTGACCCAGAAAGTGCTTTTTCACTCTACTTTTCAAGCAACAGTGGTTTGGTTTCCTAACAGGGAACCGCTTTTTGTAGGCATAATCTCACAGTTGGTTTGATGAATATGTAGACTCATGCTTTCTTAACTCATTCCGAACACTGAGTTTTCAATGCATCAATGATTGCAACACAGAAACAATTGGAATCAATTAAATATGGAGGTGAAGCTTTTCTTTGCTAACTTCTACTGCTTCTCCGTAGAATCTGTGACTGACCCCATGTTGCGGCCAGTTGCTCCTAATTAAGGCAAAAATCGGTTTCGTTTAAACAGAGGACGTTAATTCTATTGGTTTAGGTTTAGCTACTTGTCAATCTGAACAAAACTCAACTGGTTAAGATACATATTCTCAATCAAAAGATCGGAGGTTCGAATCACTCCCTTGTTTGAATTTAAAAAATCTTTAGCCAGTTGGGTAGTTGCTAGGACGGATGGAAGCTGATTTTGGATTTTGATCTTTCATGGAACATTTTTTAACTATGTGCTTCATCAATTTCACGGAACTGAGCAATTTTATTTCATATGAAAGAGAGAGAGAAGCCAATTGTCACATGAAGCTACTATGGAGGAGATGTATCCAAGTAACAACCTTAGAATGATATTACTTTCAGGGAAACAGATGCCTTGGTTTATATATTTGTAACAATTTTCCAAGGACTAGACACTTTGACCGTAGCTTTTTTCCTTTTCCTTTTATGGTCCGATATCAAGGGCCCCACTCCTACTAATCAAGGACACCCGTGCTTGCCCCAAAGCTCATATCTAGGAACATCAAGTGTTTTATTTATTAAGCTTACCCGAAGTTTTAGAACAAAGCGACTTCAATAGATATATGAAGCATTCACAACCATCAAGTTTCAGATTCTGCTATTCAAGCTAACTTACTCTCTAACATGTACGATGATATTTCATAATTGAATGATGATGACTCGACCCTAACTGCTAGAAATATTCCCAGTCTCATATCGCATTTCCTTGGAGAAAACTCCAAAAATATTGCTTATTACTGACGTGGTGATGAAAAAACGAATAGTTACTGAGGGATTAAGATGTCCAATGGTAATCCTGAAAGGAGCAGACGATTGATTTTGAAAAAGTAAAAAAGTCTTGTTTTTTCTTTGCTATTAATATTCATGGATACATTACATCTGACTAAAGAAGCATGGATTATGGACTAATCAACAGATGCCCTTCTTTACCTTAAACTCAGTCGATGTCCAAACAGAATCTTGTAGATTGACAAATAAGAGAATAAGGCTTGATAATCCTAAAAATGACTTGAATGGTCGGATAGCAATATCTCAGAGAAGTTGACTAACAAATTAATCGATTGGTTAATATGTAAGATTATTTGGGAAGTGGCTAATAAAAGATGGAAGATTATTCTTATCTAAGTGAACCAATTAACTTATTGTTGATAACTGCATGGTTTAGCTCAATCTTTGAAGTGGATTGGATCACTAGACTGCCATCTACCAGATCAAGCTAGGGAAGGATTCGTTTATATGATTGAAACTCAAAAGCCTCGAGAAGGATCTGATAGCCGGATTTTACTTATGGTACATGATTGGTCAAGTTGTTCTTGTAACAACAGAGGAATGAAGAAAGTCTAATTAGCTGCTGACTACAGGAACTAAATGGGGCATCTACCCACTTGCTAGTTTGCTAAAGGCCAATATTTCTCCCCCCTATTATTAACTTCCTACGAAGAAATTAGCACTAAAGGACAGAGATAATCTCGTGAAGAAAGAAACTTTTATTAGGAAAGTATACAAATGGACTCTTTGAGAGAACTTTCTCGCATTCTCTAACTCACTTTCCTTACTTTCCTCACTTTCTTCACTTGATTGATTTACCTATGGGGACATCTCTCCGGAGAAGGATCCTTGGAGCTCAAGCAAAAAGATCTTTCTAAACTCCTCTTCAATCTTACATATTTTAGATGCTTCTTAATTTATTCTTATCTAAATGAGCATCTTTTATATGTGTATTTAAAATATTCGAGAACAATCTAGAAAGACTAATACATTCAAGAGAGATATGTAGAGACTCCAAGAAGTTAATAGATAGTTAGTATTGTATTTTAACAATTTCATCTATTAGGAGGCATCCCTTAAGGATGGATATAGGAGGAGACTTCTATTAAACTCACTCATGTTCAAATGATGGCCCATTCACATAACAAGTACATGATGAGCAATATCCAAGTGTATAGGTGGTACAAAAAAATTTCTCAAAAATCTCAAAAACTTACAAGGGATGTACAACAAAAGGAAACTTAAAAAGGACATCATATAGGGGAACTAGAATCTTAGAATTTAAAAAGAAAAAATATCCCAAAAATTCAGTGGATCAAAAACATTTAAGGCACAGTCACAATCGGGCTCCTAAATAAGGAAGTTGTTACTATGGAAAACACATTTCACATCTACTAAAAATAAAATACATAATGTGCAATTTCAAATTGTATAGGTGGTACAAATAATCCAAACTCAGTGGATCAAAAATTGAAGGCACAATAAAAGTCAGACTCCTGAATAAGGAATTAATTGCTATGGAAAACACATATCACATTAAAACATGGTTAAAGCTATATACAAAGCAATTAATCATAGCAACAGGGATTCCCCATCCTAGCTATGTATGAATGTTGGACCTAGTCAGATTTT